GGTATACAACATTCAATAATTCAGCGACCCCAAATCAGCTTTAGCTGGGAGGAGCACTCTGCTCTAGGCTCGGGCTAGCGGTGTTTTCAGCAGGAGTAGCAGGTGTACTCGGCTGCGAATTAGCCTTAGACCGGTTGGCCGCGGCCATCTGCCATGCCGGGATGGAGGCAGACCGACCAAGCTGCGAGAGGGGGTTGGGGCTCTGGCTTGTGCTCACCGGGGCAGCAGCTGGAGTTGGCTCCTGTTCAGCTGGAGTCACAGTAGCAGCCAAGTTGTTGGTGGCAGCGGGAGGAGCGGAAGTGGCGGGGGTCTCTTCAGATGCCGGGCGGGGAATGCTGGGGATGGAAGTGGATCCAATAGTCCTACCAGCAACGGGGGTAGCTCCGCTACCACCAAGTCGGTTGCCCAGCAAGGTCTTCAAGCTCTTGAGCTCAGTTCCGAGCTCCTTCAGTCGGTTCTCGTTGCCTTCCCGGGCACCTTCAAGGGCCTTGGGAATGGCATCCTTCAATGACTTCACCTCGTCGCTAATGCGGCGAGTCTCATCATCTCTTCGGCGGGATGAATTCTTGAGATCAGCAACAAGATTCTCCACGTCCTTGAGAGCCCCATCCAAGCGCTCGGTACGGGCTTCCTCGGCGGTCTTCAATGCAGCAGTGTCGGTCGATAGTTGTTCGATCAGAGTAAATGCGCGTGAGAACTGCTCATCGATGTTTTCTTTATCTTGCTCCAGCTGGGGAGGGGTCGGCGGGGCGATCAAAGGTGCGATATAGCGCTGGATGGATTGATCAGCGCCATTAGTTTTGAGAGAGAGGGACCATTCAATACCTTTGTGACGGTATACAGCCCATAACCAACTCCACCCACCACTGTTGCCATAATAAACCAGTCACGCCAATCTCTCTTGGGTGGCCTTTTCATGTGATTAGTCTCAAACACTATGCGACGATCGATAGATAAACGTACTCAGGAGGCGGCTGCCATTGATTATATGGAGGATAGCCATATCCTTGAGGCGGCTGCGGTTGCCGGTAAGGAACTGGCTGTGAAGAATAACTAGGCGCCGAGGATGCCGAAGCTGTAGCTGCGGCCGCGGCAGACGGGTCTTCGCCCACTCGCGATAAGGCAATGTCCACTTCCTCTTGAGTCAAGTTCTTAGATTGAAGGAATGAGACTCTCTTTTCAATAGGTGACGATGCAACCGATGGGTCCTGGAGGACTAGATAAAGTCAGCGATCATTACACATCAAGTTGTGTGCTTCGTAGTCCATACAGGTAATCTAGCGGACACATGAGTTAGCGGTAGCTCCGAAAGCGGATGATAGTAGAGAGAGAGAGAGAGATATCATGTCAATAAATAACTTACAGCTGAGGCAATCAGCTCCTCGCGTGGAGCCATTGTGATTGATGTCGACTGCCAGTGGAGTGCAGGAGAGATGAATTAGGGAGAGAGATGCGACGCTCACATCGGCAATCGCCATTTGGACCTCGGAACTAGCGCCAACGCCAAGACTTCCCCAGACCGGGAGTCTCGTGATTATCGGCGAAACTGTTTTTCCTTTTTCAATCTACACCGCCTGCCTCATTTGAAAGTGGCACGCATTTGTTTACATCGACCCAAATCTCGCCTCGTGCCTGCCAAACAACAGATCAAACCCCTCCTCTCGGATTTGGTGGTGCAACCCACTTGGACCTTGAATTGTCAATACACAACCATATCGAAAATCCAGTTGTCAAAAGGATCGCCTTGTCTATTGCCGCCTTCGCGGCTTGTTTATCACCATGTCGCAAGATACTGGGCTTTTCAGTATTAAGCGCCCCCGAGAAGTATGGTTCTCTCCTATCCAGCGCAAGACTTGGGGCTAATTTACATTGCGATCAAGACTCTTGGGAGTGTGCAGAATTTCTCCGCCATCCCCCAACCGCAGTCGGCACTGAAGCGCGCAAGCTCTATCGGATTCCAAAACCCCCCGTTCAGCTCTCAGAACCACCGAAGTTCCTTCATGGGCTCCACTGCTCGCCCGCAGCAGCCCAACTTTACGCGCATGTCAATTGGTGGACCGTATGGTGCTGACGCTGGCCTTTCGTCTGTTCGCCGATCAGTGTCGAGTAACATGTTCAGTGGGGCCAGTGCCAGTCGGCAGAGCTATGCGCCAGGGTCTCTTTCCTCCAATCCTGTGCCTCCTCAGAATCCACAGCGCAGAAGCAGTGTGTTTTCGCGACCATCCACAGGAGGAGGGCCGATGGGACACCAGTCTTTCTTCACTCAAGTTCCCACCGTGGCTGGTGTTCCCAGAGACCCGCGCCCTCTCAGGGACCGATCTTTCCAGGCACGCATTGGCCAGGAACTGTTGGAGTATTTGACTATTCATGGGTTCGAGTTGGAGATGAAACATTCCTTGGGGCAGAACACTCTTCGCTCGCCTACCCAAAAGGATTTCAACTTTATCTTCCAGTGGCTCTATCATCGAATCGATCCAGGATACAAGTTCCAAAAAGCAATGGACTCCGAAGTACCGCCAATCCTGAAACAGCTAAGATACCCATATGAGAAAGGCATTACAAAATCACAAATTGCAGCTGTTGGTGGCCAGAACTGGTCGACCTTCCTCGGAATGCTGCATTGGTTGATGCAATTGGCACAGATGATGGATCGCTATCAGTCCGGCGAGTATGATGATGCCTGCGCTGAGGCGGGTGTTGATGTCAGCGGTGATCGCATTATTTTCCGCTTCCTCACTCAAGCCTACCATGATTGGTTACAGGGTGGTGAAGACGAGGATGATGACACCGCGGAGAAGCGGTTGGTTCCGCATGTTGAAAACATGTCGCGAGAATTCGCTGTTGGCAATGAGCGGTACGTGCAGGAAATGGAGGCACTAGAGGCGGAGAACCGGGCTCTTCGCGACCAAATTGAAGAAGTGGAGAAGAGTGCTCCTGACATCGCCAAGTTGGATAAACACTTCCGCATCTTGGAGGATGACAAGAGGAAATTTGAGGATTATAACCAGAACGTCAAAGGCAAAATCGAAAAATACGAGACTCGCATAAAATTCCTCGACGCGGAGATACAAAAAACCGATACCGATCTTCAGGCCACGGAATCTGAGCGTTCCGATCTGCAAGCAAGTGTTGATCGCCAAGGCATCACTATCCAGGATATCGACCGCATGAACTCAGAGCGAGAACGTCTGCAGAAGAACCTCGAAGATACCGTCGCCCGCCTCGAAGAGGCCCATGCCCGTGTCATGGAGAAGGAAGCGGAAGCCAGCCAGAAACTGGAAGATCTGGAACAGATCGTGAAGGCTTACAATACTCTTGGCTACCAAACTAGCTTGATCCCCGCAGCTGCGGAGAACGCGAAGGGCCAAGATTATGAACTTAGTCTCAATATTAATGAGAGCAATTTCTCCGCGAGCCAGATTGGTGGCCCCCCCAACCGAGTTTCTCCCGAGGGAGATCGCCTATTGGCAGAACCTTTCACTGGCTACCACCCGGCGCATTTGCTTAGTTTGGATCTACGGGGCTCTGTCCGAAACAGCCTGCAATCACTCCGGAAAGAGATCAACGAACGACGGAAGCAAGGGATCGATGAGGACCTTGACCGCCGCAATCTACTCGACAACATCAAAGAGGCAATGGATGAGAAACGAAGCGAGGTTGAGGCCCTGGAGCATCGACGCCGAGCAGCAGAGGAAGAGTTTGAACGAACAAAGGAAATCACAACTACTCAGAAGCTGGCCTCCGATGCCCAAATTGAGAAGATGGAGAAGGAGTTGGCAAAGATGCGCGCTACGCTCAGTGACAGTGTACAATTGATGGAGCAGCGCGAGATGAATACCAATATCGAATACGAGCAACTGACGCTTCGAGCAAATTCTCTCCGAGAGGAGTTGCACACTAACGTCGAAACAATGCTGAACGACGTGATTCGCTTCAAAGTACATGTCCAAAAAGGTCTCGAGGACTACGAGAGCTTTGTCGTCGACGAAGTGGAACAGGAGCTTGGAGGTGAAGGGGTTCTTGAAGAGGAGCTTTGAGGTTACTTTGTCATGATTTGATGATTTGGTGTTCAATTTAATACTGTTGGTTTCATGTACAATACCCCGGATCAGTTCAGGACGCGCAATGCATATATCGTTTTAATGATGTTTTTCCCTCTCCTTTCTATACACGGCAGTGATATTAGCCCTATATGTTGAATAGGGGAACGCTCAAGGTCGTATGCTCTCTGGCATACGGGTCGATTCAGCACTCGTACTTCAGGTTCATACATATAAAAGAATCCGGGCACGTAGCCTAAGAAGTGAATTTAGAGAGGTGTAGGAGTCTGTATTCTTAATCTATATCTGCTACTTATATCTACGCTACTTTAACGATTATATAATAAACAATATAAATCTTGGAAGAAAGAGAGGACGGGTAAGGACTTGGATCCCTACTATATACCACCCTACCTAAGAAAATCGGTCATCCCCAGACGATTATATATCAGTATAGTGATAAGAAAAGAAGAAAGTAATCAAGGAAACGAGAAAGAAAAAAAACCTTCCAACCTCCCTAGTATCTAGTAGAGGACTAGACTTTATCCTTATCGATGCCTATATCCTTTTAATAGGATCAGTGTAAATATATCGAGGTCACTATTGTATGTTATGCGTACCCCGTACCCTTAATCTGTACACGTTACAGCTCTAGGCGCCAGTGAGTTATCCTTGCAATTGACATGTCCTAAAATAAATCGGAGTCAAAGGGCGGCAAAAGAAAAACAATGATTCGTCAAATAGTTCTGACAGTTCCGACAAGTTGGGCGTTGGGCGAAATACCAGTTTTTTTACGTGTAGCTGAGCCTCTTTGATCAATCTCATCGAAATCTTCTCTTCTCTTCTTAATTCTCGTCGATCCGCTTTCTTCGAAATTGGTATTTGTCTTGCACACAGTATCAGACTCTCCTCGCCGAAGCCAGAGCCCCCCCAGCAGCCTAGCCCGTGAGTCAATAGAAGATGGCTGAAGTCATCGGGGTAGTTTCAGGCGCGATAACATTTGCGACGGTTCTTGTTCAAATTGGAAAAACCATTATCACACTGAAAGAGTGCTACAATGATTTACGCGACGCGCCCGACGATCTACGGAAGTTAGTGCAACAAATCGAGATCTTTAGTAAAATACTGGTGCATGTTGAGGAGGATTTGTCCTGAAATCCGAATCCCGGCTTGGAGAATAGTGAGGCTGCGCTGCAAAGCTTAGCCTATTGCAAAGAAGCGGCGAATGAGTTGGATACGGTCTGCAACGACATTGTTCGAGATGTGAAATCTCCCAGTCGTTTGCGTCGGTCTTTCAAGTCTGTTAAGATTGTTATACAAAAAGGGAAAATCGAGAAGTATATGGATCATTTAAGAAATGTTATTCAGTTACTCATGTGGTCTGAACAATGCTATAACCGGTATGTCATTTGTTTACATCCTGCAGTTGGTGTTGGTCAGCTGATGAATATAGAGCCCTTACTCAAGCTCACATTCAAGCTCAGTCTCAGTTGATCATTGAAACGATGGTAAAACTTGATACAGCCCGTTCGTCTTCAGAAAACTTTAGGACCACGACAACTATGGAAGGTATGGTCTTCCGTTGGGTAACCAGGTTGCCTCACTAATGGTTTCGCTAGGGGTAGAGTCTTTTGCCAATAACACTGAATCTGTTGTTGTATCACAGGATAAAGGATTGAACTTTGCTCAGAGCAGTAGCTATAGGTGGCGGCTTAGCTTGCCTCACTGGATCACTTCAGAAATCTTGGAAGTGGCTGCCATGAAAGCCCCAGGAGGGTGGAACTGCTACTTGAGAGCTTATGGTGTGATTCCGCGCGATGCAAAAGCGACCTTGCATGTGATGATTGGAGACATTCAAGGGCTCCAGGATCTATTTGCCTCCGGGCAAGCATCGCCTTTCGACCGAATTGAGAGTTCGCACGGGGAATCACTACTTCATGTAAGCATTTCGTGCAGGTAACACATTGGTTTCCGACGCACTAACAGATAGCCAAGATGGTCGGCCGCAAAAATAGAACTGAGATGATATCGTTTCTCTTGGATCAAGGAGCAGATCTAAACTACTCAGACCACCTACCACTTAACAGCAAAGTACAATACGCACACACCACAGCACAAGAATTGGAGTCATTGATTCCATCTATGCGTGTGATATTCCGTCATATAGATCTGAGCTATCAATCCGCCGAAGAATGGGCAGTTTCTGTCTTAAGCAAGTTTCTAGGAACATCAGAAGAGTTTTCCTTTCTACAACAGCATGCTTGTCCTTCCTTCTACCAACTGTCAAAACAGATTCGTCTTCGAGTGGCCCTTAGCATAGCAACGCGCTTATGGCACTGGCACGTCAGTTATTCAACACCCAAGGTTGTCCGAATCGTCTTAAAAATGGATATTTTGGAACCCGATGATTTCAAATTTTGCCAAGAGATGAACTCAACGCTGATTCATTCTGCGGCGGCGCATATTGGGGCTTGTCAACGGGTCACTCAAATATTGGGTGGCGCCCATGAACATCAATCGAGACTTGACGCTTGGATTGGCCTTTGTCGTGACTTTCTAAGAGTCGGGATTGACATTCATTTTATAATCCATGGCAGAACTCCCCTTATGTCGTATGTTGAGGGATGGCTTTCACATTGGTCTTCGTCCGCGGCTAATCAATTCGCCGTTCAGCCATGGTTGGAACAACTGGAAGCTGTTGGTGTTGATCTTAGTGAATATGGAAAAGTGGAGGAATTTATTTGGAGAAATCAGACAATCCAGAGACAATTCTGGGCGTGGGATAAAAGTCTAAAAGTGAACGTGATGCTAAGAGTGATTGGATTTGCCTATGGCCCCTCCCCCAAAGATTGGCATATATGGCTGTCCGACCCAACTGATTCTTATGTAGGGGATTTTTGGAATATGGTCGCACGGCCGGTGAAAGTGATGCCAGGTGCCTGGCCGCAAGACTGAGCTATATAGGTATCGTGATAAATTGCACTCCCATACATGTATCTAGAGAACAACCGCCCAGCCTGAGGTGAGCATAGATGGCTTTCAAATCGTGCAAAAGGACATTTTCGAAAAATGCGTACTACAGTACTTCCTGAAATCGGTGTCGCCACCTACGATCTATGCTCAAGCACCATAATGAACATACTGTGCCCAATGTAACGGCCGCTTTCGATAGTCAACACTCGTCGAAACGACCGAGACCGCTTTATGAAGTGCCATCGCGACAGCTCTCTCCTATAGATATTTCACCCGAGTTCACGATAATCTCTGATTCAATTCCAAATCTAAGTCTAAGTCTAACTGTTCCAAAGCTATGTGTTATAAACATTGAGTGTGCGAGAATCAATGTATCGAAGGCAATATAATAGGGATATGCCCACAGTGTGCAAAGTGAATTGCAACGATAACATGTCCGACACCCGAGCTCGTAGCCAAAAGTGACAGAAAGGCACCGCTTAAAGATGAGGGCGAGCCAAACATTTTGAATGACCTGGAGACGACTCGAGGATATTGGTTTGGAATTTTCTTTTGAAGAATGCTCAACAAGGCCTGCTAGATTGAAACCGTGCCTCTGTGATATGGAATGGATGGGAGAACTCAAGGTTTTTATATCTCAAACCATGAGGCATCCCAATATCCTCTGGGCTATTGAGCAATTTACCCGTTGAACTAGTCACCAATTGCATTATTATCTCCTCTCATATCCTCCAAATCACCACTGACTCATCGACGACTTCCTCTTTGGGTATTTGATGGCCCGCTGGATGAAGAATGTATTGCTGGGCTTCGAGAAACCCCCGAAGATCTTTGATATCGGCCCTTTTATCCATGTGGATTTTGCTTCTTGGCCATCTGTGATGCCCGTTATTGGCCAGAATAACCCCGATCATCGTTATGTCCATGGGTAAATATGTTCGAGGGGTTGGCAGGGTAAGCTGAGACGAATATTTATGAAATCGGAGAATGCGTTGGCGCATGCATGAACCAATTGACAGTCCCTTTTCTTGGCTTTCTTCTGTTTTGTTTTGTTTTTTCGCTGAGGGGGAGGTTTCGAGATGAATTGCCACCCTTCAATTAGAAGATATGCCTGCAGCACGTGGTGGTCATTCTTTCTCCCGAATATCGTATTGTGCGGACCACAGTGATACATCATCATATTGCCAAGGAGGACCCGACGGGGCACCGGGGCAGGACTCAGGGAAACAGTATACCGATATAGGATATGTAAGTGGTCCGTTCCCGAGAAGGTTCCCTCTTCAGGGCTAGTATACTCCAACGCTGAAAGTGGGTTAGAGATCAAGACCATCTTGGCTCGAGGCAAAGAAACCTCCATATCGACTAGCGCCGTGTCGCCAAGGTTGTGCCAAGAGCGGGAATGGCATTGAGTAGTTCCAAAGTTGAAGATCTCAGGCTGAATGATTACTATGCTCCGGTGTATAGGACCATAATTGCGTTGTTCTAGACGTCAAATTCGTCAATCTTTTATAGTTCTGGATAGACAAAGCTTATCAATATATGGGTACTTAGTCCATCCTGATGTCTTTCTTAGAAATCATCCCTTAACAGTTCCACTCTCGATTTGCCTATTGTGAAATCTAGACGGAGGGCTATACCCACAAATCGGTAGTCGCCTTGATGCCGCTATCGAGTGACGGTCAACTCGTGCGCACTCAGTCAACCGGAAAGTTTGAGTATATCCACGCGGACCAACTTGAAGTGTCGCCAGACGGCAAATAATTCTACTACCAGCCCGGTATTGGCTACATGTGGCGCATTGAAACCAAGTACCTGAACGATGCCCTGCACAATGACACGACGGTGGACCTGCTTTCCAATTACGTCGAGCCATTCTCGTTGACTCCCAGCAGCACCGGCGGCACTGCCATTGATGCGAAGGGCAACATATACTACAGCGACGGTGACCGGCAAGGTTGGTGCGCGATGCCAGGTTGAGCTGGGTGGACGCGCTCTGGATCGACACACAGCAGCGGCTGTGGATGTGTGCCTCACAGTTGGGCCACAGCACTGGCTTTGTGCAGCCTGATAGTAAGACCAACACTATTATGAAGCCTATCTATGTCTATAACATTGAGACGGGCAACAATCCGTCTCCGATTGACCATGCTTGAGAATACTGGTAGGTGCTATTTGACTTTGACTAAAAACTGGGTTCTTATTCGATTGAAAGTCTTTTTGTTAGATAAAATACCAATTGCTGTGCCAGGATCCTAGTAGAGATTGTATTCGCGAATGCATATATAGGCAGGTGTGGCTAACTTTCCCAATCGTATTTGCGTGGTATTGCAAGCTTTGACCAGCGCATGACACCATTCCTATGTGGGCATTCTTCAAAGGTGGACAAGCCAAAGTTTAGAAGATCTATTAAAATGCCAGAAAACAATTGGTCATCGAAGAGTTTGGGCGATATGAGACCCATAATATAGTTTGTTATAGATTGTTCTATAAAAAGCTATACGAAGTATACAATTTGTTCTAGAGACAGCAAATAAACAATACATTGTAAGAGCTTATTTATGGACATGTTCACATCGCACCTATTCACAGCAAAATTTATCCGAGATGAGCGATCAAAGATACTTCTAGGAATAAAAGAAAATCCACAAGTTAGATTCTTCAAATATATGATATACAACATAGTTACTATAAAATGTACAACATACAACACGTTTCTGCACAGCCTTGGCGCGGCATGCCGCCTTCAGGGCTCCGCCAATCTCCATCTAGCCAGGACACACCTCCTTTGTCAATCACACAGGTGATCGACAGGAGCGATGTGCACAACAAGGTGGAGAACTGTCATTCGCCCGTTTCATCCATCTCTTTTTTGTCTGAAACAACTTGCTCCGCACAATATACAGCCCTTCCGTCCACTATCTGTACCGTAGTCCCTGGTTCCACTGTAATATATTATACCCGGGGTGATAGGGCTATTTTCTCATCTATGAAGATCTCTCCTGCTTAAAATTGTTCGCCACGGGATAAGACCCTGCTCCCCTGCAGATCCAACTCCTCTCACGGAAACAAATAGTGTTTCGGCGGTCTTTCCGCGGTCTTTTGGCGGTCTTTTAACGGCCCAATCCTTTCTTTTTGACTCTCAACAATGAAACACCAGGGGTATATAACCAGCTAGAACTTCCTGCTCTCGAGCGTCCTTTTCAGTCACAAGTGCTGTGCACATTCATTCTTTTCAAAAGCTTCAGGGCTTTCTTTACATTACTCCAACGAGCATCCACTCATTTCCCCACTTTCACTTTTAAGCGTCCAACAACTCAACACTCCAAAATGAAGTTCACTGCTGCCATTGGTGTTGCTGCCCTATTTATGGCCCCGTCTGCTGCGGCCTGGAAGCTGCCTGTGAGTATCTACACTATAAATCCTCGAATAGATCTCGTTCGTTGCTGACATTGTCTTCCTAGCACGCCAACAAGGCTGACGCTGCCGCTCCTACCGGTTATCCTTCCAGTGGTTTCCCATCTGGAACCCCGTCTGTCACTCCATCCGGAACCCCATCCGGAACTCCAACTGGATGGCCTACCGGATGGCCTACCGGGTGGCCTACTGGATGGCCTACTGGATGGCCTACCGGATGGCCTACCGGGTGGCCTACTGGATGGCCTACTGGATGGCCTACTGCGTCCCCAACTGGATTCTCCTTTGGCCGTCGTGCACCTGGTCACGGACCTGGCCTTAAGGGACCTGGTCACGGCGGACCCGGCTACGGAGGGTTCGGCTCTGGATTCGAGTCCACCAGCTCTCCCACCATCTCTCCCACCATCTCTCCTACCAGCTCTCCTATTGGCTCTTCTACCGCCGTGCCTTCTGGATTCCCCGAATCTACTGGTGTCCCCCTTGGGTTCCCCGGTGGCTTCTCCGGTAGCCAGACCTCTAGCGGTTCCTTCACTGTTTTGCCTGTCGCGACCGCGACTGCTGGTACAGTTGGTGAGCAGGGAGACTTCACTCGTCGTCACGCCCGTCAGATGTTGTTTTAGATTCTACACTTTGCAGCTTCGCTCGTGTGACTTGTGAGATAGATCATTACTGTGTTTTCTGTGCCTGCTGGATCAGCTATAGAGAAGAGATTGTTGCTATATTGGAATATTTTCCCGGGTGTCATCTAGAGTAGTAAATCTGTCAATTGGTGAAAACATAGCATAACTATAATAACGTTAGAAATTTACAAGATATGGTCAACCACAAAACCCTATCAGAGGGTCTTATATACATGCTTCAGGAAACCGTATCTCTAGCCCATCACACATAGTAGATTTTGTTTCTATTGGGATATTCGCTCTTTTTTTTGGCATTTGAAATCAGAAGGGAGTTCACGACACCAGCCAAACAGCGCTATATGGTCCAATTAAGGTCATATGGTCGAGAATTGTGGTATATCAGGCTATAGCCAACTTACCTGCAGTTTTTCACAATAATTAATTTCTGCAAACCTACTTTAGGCTATGTTCAAAGGTACTCAAGACTGCATAAACCAGCCCCCAGAGGAGGCCCCTTATGATCCCTGTTTTGCCTTCGGCGCCGGTCTTTTTATACTTTTCCCTAGCAAAATCCCAGTTTCACCTAGGATGTCTTATTATTCGCTCATGCAAACAAATATCAACTAGTTCGTTTCTAGTTGCAGCGTCACGCAGGACGGATGTGACCAAACCGCTATTGGGGTTGCTAGCGAAGCTGTGAAGCCAGTTCAACTCCAAGGGGCGTATAGTTAAACCATAGCTATTGAGGAGCTCCCAGTACAGTTTTGTGTTTCTGACTCCCTCTCTTGGACACAAAAATTTCGGGGCTTGCTCGGAAGATCTATTGAGACATTTACGGATTATGCTCGCTTGTATTACTATAGGTTTTATCAGATCATCGCCTTCCCTTGCTATCTATGTCACGGAGGGCCTTTTGCTCTCTATGTCACGGACAAGGCCCTCCGTGACAAGGCCCCTAGGATAAACCCACATAGCCCCTAATTATGACAACACTTCATTATGCTTCGTGGCAGGAACAAATAGTGCCGGATTTTACGAGGTATTTTCGGCTTGTATGCCGTGGGACTATAACTAATCTTAATCTTTTAATATTTTTAATTCCTCACCAATCCACGGGTGAACCGACTTATAGGACATATATCTCTGATCACTCTTTAATAGACCTCCAAGGTAAACCTAACCTCTCTTCGTGTTTCACCGAGGTCATCTTTAAGCACTGCGAAGGATTTCTAACGATCTTTGCTCTCACGTATCCATTGGATCTAACTCACGATGACCTATGTGAGATGAACATCGCCGTCAATCCTGAAGTAGGCAGTGTCGCTGGGGTTGTTGACTGGGCTGAAACAAAGGTGTTGCCATTCGGGATGTCCGTCTCGGGATTTTACAACATGCTTAGTATTATGAGCTTAAGTAGTTGGCATTACCACGCATCCGAATTAGAAGGCGTTTCCTGGGATAGGCTCTACACAGGTGTGGGATTGGTTATTTATAATGATTTTACTTGGAAAGATGGGGTTGAAAGGCCTAAAAATACGGAAGATTTTTCGATGAGATATTTAGTTAGATGTATTTCTACACTGTTTGAAGGATTGAGATTTGAACCAGCCTTCATTGGAGTTCAAGGGTATAGAATATTGAGTCTTTGTTTGATTTAAAGGTTGACAACAAGTCATGATCTTGACGCTGTACGGATTATTCTCTTCCTAAATAGGCAAGGCAATTTATGTCTACCACGCTTTTTTTTTTGTTTCCATATGCTACAGAGGTTCGTATGTACATAAAAGTGAAGTGGATAAAGTCTCTCGACCAGTAAGAATGTGGGTAGAGTAATGAATATTAGGGCGTTCCTTATGAACCTAGATAGACCCGTAACAGTCCCGATGTCGCCGTAGAACCCTCGGTGCTTAAGCATCATATATAGTCCACGGATGACTCAGAGCTCAATTAATAGGTAATTACTAACTGTATATATTGTTAAATTCAAAGAAGAGAGAATCCCCTAACAATATAAATGTGCCTGCGTTGGAAGTATAAGGAACTCCGCATTCTGTGGCCTCCGATTGGCTGATAGCTCGGTGCTGACTCAGCAGTTCCTGATCTCCAAAATTCTCGAAACAACATTCACCTCATCTCCCTCATCTTTATTCATTTGCCCCTGTTGGTACGGGGATCAATTGAATTTCCTGAATACCCCGCGATGTACCTGTGAAATCGACATGTATCACGCCAACCCCGTACCCACCGAGATCGCGAAACCTATACATCCGCCTTCGAGCCTCGTTGCGGTACCATGAGCAGGTGCTTGCGCCCCGGCCGCATCCTGCCATTCGGTCGCAGGCCAGCTGCTTCACGCCTCCCTTTCATCCCATATCGATCCGTGTCCCCTTTCTCCCGGCCGACTTGGACTCAATTTACCCGGAAGACGCGCAATGACCAAAGAGAGATTAATTTCCCAGATGAAGTTCTTTTTCTACGCCGATACAATTTAATCAAACACCCTCGCCTCAGACATGACCAGAAGAGACATATTGAGGAATGGATGCCAGTTTTGAGGGATTGTATTCCACCGAAAATTGCCAAACCACCAGACGTCGCCCAACCTGCAGGCCAGCCCAGGCGGCTTCGACCACTCCGCGAATCTGAACGTGAGCTTGATCGGACCCATGCTCTACTGGGGTGCCTATGGGATGGAAGGATTCATTTTGAGTTTCACCTCCTTGCGCATCTCGGATTTGCGCACCATGAGTGGTCTAATGTGCAGGCTCTTTTAAACAGCATGATAGACACCTATGAGTTGCTAGCTCCTCATATGCCTCCTACACACCCTTCGCCTGGGCTTGATTGGAACAGACCGTTTCGCGTGCGCCGCAGAGATGAGTCAACATCTGACTTGGTGTCTCCCATCACCGAAGAGGTCTCCCTCAGCAAGCTCACAGGAGGCACAAAATCAACATCCCCTTGGAAATGGTCTCGCCTAGAACCTCTTTCATCAGATAACATTTCACTTGATACTCTGACGGTGGAACCTGCACCGAGATTCTTTGGAGAGAGAATTCTGGCTGAAGTACTCGCAAACCTCGGCTCTTTGATATTGTATGCTGCACGCAGTCGGTCAGATGATTCGAAGCATGCAATGTCCTGTGTATTCCGAACTCTTGCCCGTTTACACCATGCTGGCATGATCTCTGACAGAGTTTATCAATATCCGAAACCAGATGCCAGCCAGATTGTGTTTCGCCCGCCAGCGCTCCATTTTTTGTCCAGTTCCATAATGAGCGTTCTGTCCGACGCTGCATGGCATGAACATGAAACAGCGGTGGCCGCTGCGGCCGCTGATGCTGGAGAGCCGTCACCTTTCATTCCTTACACGCCGGGAATCCGAGAGCTGGGCCCCGAAATATGGCTTGAGCTCATTCTATGGTGTTGCGTGGAGCATGGGTTTTGCAGAACGGGCACACTACTGGTACATCAAATGGCCCGGCTTAGCGAATGGAAGGCTGAGAGTTGGGCGCCCCTAATTAATGACCTTGATGCAGTACAACAAACTAATGTCAGTATTGAGCAATCATGGCGTCGGCCAGGGAAAAACGAGAAACCCCCAACACTCAAAGGTCAGGACAAAGCACCATTCAATGGACTTGGATTCCGAACTATCAGCTCTGAGGTGGTTGCATCGCTGCGGAGTGGCTTGGCGAACAAAGCCTATGTTGGAATGGGAGATCGTGGATATCTTCCTGAGGATCTCGCCAATTTATCAGCCCCTCTCACCAAGCTTATTGACCCTCCCGTTCCCAGCCGGGAGGAGCTTCGGCCAACAAACAGGTTCACCAATTGGCACATTGTACGGATATTGGCCTCGGGCTGTTTAAAACCATCAGATGATCCCGTTTCCTTCGAGCATCTTCTAAGGTCTCAGAACAATGTTGTTCCTCCATGGGAAGGAAATGAGTTGGGTCTAGCACAAGTGTTGGATGGAAAAACGCGGGCGCAATTCTATGATGAATCGGCCGCCATGACTGGTCTGATCGAATTCAACCTCAATTATTATGCTCGGGACAAGCAGAGCGGACGCCTTTTCCACGAGTATGCTTGGCTCCAAAATATTGCCGATGCAAGCAAGGCACAGCACATCCAAAAGTTTTTTGAACGGATGAGCCAAGCTAGCGATGAAGAAGCTTCTTTTTTGTTTGATTTCAAATCATTCGAACCTCAAGACATCTCTCAATCGTCTATCCCGCAGTTGTCCTGCGCCACTTTCGCCAACCTCCTTGACGTGGCGACTACTACACATGCGTTTGATTTTGGCCAACAACTACTTCTAGACAATGACATCGATGGCCCTGCCATCCCTCAAAGCGCATATAGAAACCAGGCCCTGGCACCATCTATTCTTCGATTTGCGGCTGCCACCGCTAATGTCGAGCTCGGCGAGCGTGTCATTGGGTCGCTCGCGATCCCTCTTTCTGTGAACACCATTAAATCGTTGATCAACTTCAGTATCGCACGGAAAGATTGGAAGCGCGTGGTGCTGATGCTCAACTTCCTGACCGAGCACCGAGCCAAATCCTGGGGTTACATCAACATCGGTGTACTGGCAAGCGCGGTAATTCGGCTCGATGCCACCGTTAAACACAAGGCATGTGCCGGCATCTCGACTGAGGCAGATACAGAGGACTTGGATCAGGCCACGGACATCTTGCTCCGCCTTTTCCGCGGCGAGTGGCATGCTAATTACACTCGTGAGAAGGTCAGGAACTTCCAGCTTCGAACACTTTCTCGTATGCACCGCGTGCTCTCCGCCATCCCAGGTCCTCTACCGGACATCCTCAAACAAGTGGAGGCACCCAAGGAAATCACCGGACATCACAAGGCCACTTTGATCCCGCCAACCACCTTCCATGAGATCTTCGCTGCTGTCGTGGAAACGCAGGGCGCTATTGTCGGCAAGCAGCTCTGGGATAAAGTCTGTGTCGACTGGGTATCTCCCAAGCGCCAGC